ACAACAGAAAATATTGGGGTGTTTTTTTTCAAACTTTTTGGTCTTTTTTTTGCGTTTGTATGATAAAAAAAATACCAAAAAACCCAGTGATAATTAAATACCACCAAACGAAAGCTCTGTTTATTTGAAAAAACATATATACTCATTTGGGTACAGTGTCGAATGAATTAGCAATTACCAGTTAAAGAAGCGCAGTGATGAATAGCAAAAAATGGCTTGGTCATGAAGGAGGTAAATCCTTCCGAAGGGCAAATGGTTAAATAAGGGACCTGAACAGATCCGGATGTAGGTGATGATCATCAAGTTTACATCCACCCACCCATAAACGTACATCATGCTTTTGTCTGGATCCGTCTTAAAAACTGACAGATGAATCCAGACTGAACACCCATGTGAAAGAAACCTTAGAATATAACTAAAGAAAAACTTATTTTGTTAAACTTTTGGATAGAGTGGAGAGGGATTAGAACTCCTGTCAGTTTGTAATGCTGTTTGTGCCCCCGTTTATTTATCTATTTCAGGTACTTATATAGCACGGTCAATTTACACAGCGCTTTACATATATATTGTACATTCACATCAGTCCCTAACCCTCAAGGGGTGTACAATCTAAGGTCCCTAACTCACATTCATACATACACATACTAGGGCCAGTTTAGACAGGATCCAATTCACCTACCAGCATGTCTTTGGAGCAGGGACAATTCCAGCATAAGCAGCTGTCTTTGGGCGCCAAGATGGGGGGGATCTGAATCCCAAGCCACGTGCTAGGGATTCTGAACTTTAAACCCTTCCGACTGCCTGTACACATATACTGTAGGGGCCTCACTGAAGTGGGTCTTTTTCTGAGAGGCTGAATATAGGTGTACAGGGTCTTGTACTAACAACCAGAGACTATCACAGGATCAACTGCTGTGCAGCCAGCTTATGTTTTTTTTTTTTTTTACCTCTGAATGGACAGAAAGATACATTGTTTCTTTTTCTTGTGGATTTTGTACAAGCTGAAACCTATGGCTTTTGCACTCACATGGAAGACTTTTCTACTGTTCTACTTACTACCGTTACTAAACCCACAACAGTAAAATCAGTCTGTACATGAATAAAGTATACTTGTTATACTCACTATGGATCCTATGGGGCTAACACTCCACATTGTGTTAAAAAGGCTGTTTGATGCTGTCTTCTCTGATGCTACCCTTCTTCCACATTCCTTAATCCATCTGCTGATAAAACAGAGTCTTAGAGGCAAACTGCACATGCTTAGTTTGGTGTATAGTGCTAGATTTGTTTTCTTGGGAGAGTGCATGTGATCAGCACAGGGCCAATAAGCATTGTCCAGAGGGTCAGGGGTCATGCAGCCTCATAGGACAGTCAGAGGAGAATAACCTCTTCTCCTACAAGCTTTAACCAGTGCTCTGCTGGATGCTGACAGAAGTCACATGACTGCTCTATCTGCTGATGAGAGCAGTTTATATTTACTATAATAATTGCATTTCCATGTTGTGTGTACTGTGGGAGACTAGATATAGTGAATACAGGGTCCTGGGTTTAGTAGCACTTTAAGAGACTACCTCTGCCATTTTGCTCAAGACTATCTTCTGATCTAAAAGACGTCCTTTTATTGTATCCTTTCCTGGACATTGGCTATACAGTTAAGATAACAGTCCAGATAACCTTTACTGTTTGCAATGTCACTATCTGGTCATATGTTAGTTCATATCTACTGGTTAATCAGAACATTTGCCTAATCTGGCCTTTAGCTGGTCATACGTTAAATGTGTACATCTTATTGGCTCTGTAATGTTTTACGTAATATCAGCTTATGTCTTTGGGATGTAATCAGTGCATAAAGACAGTGGACAGCAGGCATGGAGGTTACAATAGCCTGCTTTTTATTGTTCTTCCACTTGTGGTAAAAAAACCTTCACCTTGCATAGCAAGAAGTCTTCATTCTCTTACAAAGGGTCCAGAGTCCAGCCTGGACAGTCTCCTTCCAGGGTAGAAAGATGTAAACTAACAAAAAAATAAATAAAACACACACACACACATAAAATTGGATAAAAGGTTTAACACTGTAAAACATTTTTTTAACGACTTCCCGACTGCCCTTAAGGCAGATATACTGCTACAGGGTGGCAGGGGTGCACAAAATCACGTATATATATGTGATTTTGTGGTTCCAGATAGGGGGTGTGCGCGCACCCTACTTGCGTTGCCAACTAGGTCCCGGTCAGTGATTCCCCGCTGCCGCCTGGTGATTACTGAGCATCTCCGACAGGGAGTAGGGTTGCTTTGTTTACTAACAGTCCTCCTCCGTCAGCTCGGCACACTGCTCTGGATGGCTGTGCACAGTACAGCCATCCAGAGCAGTGTGCTTACAGTAAAACACACACACACCGCCCCCCATGTAAAACACTTTCAGTACACAATTAACCCTTTGATCGCCCCTCATGTTAACCCTTTCCTGCCCATTGCTATTAGTAGTGTCAGTGCTTTTTTTTTTTTTTTTACCTCTGATCACTGTATTGTGTCACTGGGGATGTCAGTGACACAAAGTCAGTTCCCCCCCAGTGTCAATGTCCGCCACAGTCCTTGCTATAAGTCGCTGATCTCCGCCATTACTAGTAACAAAAAAAAAAAAAATTCCAGTATCTATACCATCATTTGTAAACACTATAACTTTCACATAAACCAATAAATTTTTTAGCAAATACATGTCGCAGAATACATTTTGTCCTAAATTTATGACAAATTAGATTTTTTTATTTTTTTCACTGGACATGTTTAATAGCAAAAAGTCCAAAATATTGTTTTTTTTTTAAAATTTGTATTTTTTTTTATAGCACAAAAATTAAACGCACAGGTGATCAAATACCACCAAAGAAAGCTCCATTTGTGGGGAAAAAAAAAAAAAAAAAAGACGTAAATTTAATTTGGGTGCAGCATTGTATGACCGCGCAATTGTCAGTTAAAGTAATGCAGTGCCATATTGCAAAGAATGGCCAGATCAGAAATGGGGGTAAATCCTTTGAAGGGCAAGTGGTTATTGACAAAATTTGTTTTTTTTACTGGACATGTTTAAGAGCAATAAGTCAAATAGTGTCAAATTAAACCTTGCCAAAACCGAGCTCCTAGTTTTCCCCCCAGCCCGCGCCCCCCGACCTCTCCATCACGACCAACAACGCCACCATCAGCCCCACTACGCAAGCCAGCGTACTAGGTATCATTCTAGACTCCAACCTGTCTTTCCAGCCCCAGATCCAATCACTGACAAATTCATGCAGGCTCCACCTCCGCAACATCTCCAAAATACGTCCGTTCCTAACCCCAGAAACTACAAAGCAACTCATCCACTCCCTTATCATATCACGACTTGACTACTGTAACTCCCTCCTTGCCGGCCTACCCCAACACAGGCTATCTCCGCTTCAGTCTATCCTGAATTCTGCAGCCAAAACTCATCCACCTTACCAACCGCTCCATATCCGCCACCTCCCTCTGCCAATCCCTCCACTGGCTTCCGATAGCCCAACACATAAAATTCTAAATATTAACATACAAAGCCATTTATAACTCTGCCCCAAATTACCGAACTGATATCCATCTACCACCCAAAACGCACTCTTCACTCCTCACAAGACCTCCTTCTCTCCAGTTCCCTGGTCTCCTCCCATGCCCGACTGCAGGACTTCTCCAGGACTTCCCCCATCCTCTGGAACTCACTACCCCAATCCATCAGATTATCACCTACCCTCCTCACCTTTAGGCGCACCCTGAAAACCCATCTCTTCAGGGAAGCCTACCCCGCCCTCACCTAACAGCCGATCTCCTCCACTCCTCCCCCCACAGCCACTTCCTCCTGTACCACTATCTCCTCCCTCCTAGATTGTAAGCTCCAAGGAGCAGGACCCTCGAACCCCTCGTATATTGTATTGTACTGTATTGTCTCATGTTCTGCCCCCACTATAATGTACAGTGCTGAGCAAACCGTTGGCGCTATATACATACTGTATAATAGTTATTTTTCTCAAAATTGTAAATTTTTTTTTACATAAGAAAAAGCACAGCGATCAAATACCACCGAAAGAAATTTCATTTGGGTGCAGTGTTGCATGATCGCACAATCGTCAGTTAAAGTAACAGCGCCGTAACGCAAAAAATGACCTGGTCAGGAAGGGAGGTAAAACCTCTGGAAGGCAAGTGGTTAAAGTAGCACAGTGCTGAATAGCAAAAAAAAACACCTGATCATGAAGGGGGTAAAACATGGCGCACAAGTGGTTAAAATGCCACCAAAAGAAAGCTCTAGCTGTCTCCAAATAAAAGGATGGAACCTTCATTTTGTGCACATTGTTACATGCCTGAGTCATTGCCAGTCAAACGGGGTGATAAAGGCTGGCACTGAAGTAAAGACGCTGAGCAGCTTTGCAGTGCACGCTATGGAACGCACACTAAAACGTCTGACCTTTCCCTGCTGTGGTAAAGGTAAGGCAACACTGCATTCAGGGACGTTATTCCAAGCCTCCAGGCGGGAGGAGCCGGCACACTGGAGCAGAGGAGAGGCTGTGTGTGTGACCAGGAGCCCACTGACACCCGATCCTCCACACCAGTCTAGACGCCCTAGAATGCCTGCCGTCTGACCGCTCCACTTTCGTCACGTCCCCGCCCACTCTGGGCCAAGGCCCCTCCCCATGTGTGGAGCGTGCGCATGCGTCGTAGCGCCCGCGCGCCTGGCAGTGAGCGGAGTCATGATGGCGGCGGACAGGCCGTGCTGATGAGACAGCGAAATAGGCGACCGCTACAGCAGCTTACACCCGGGCCACTATCACAGCGCTCTCCACAGACGCAGCATCGCCGCGGTACGCCAAGACAGCGCCGGAGGACACAGGCTGATCCAGCGGACCGCCCGTCCGTCACAAATAAATCAGAGGCCGGAACAGACCGGATCCCGACACTGCACCCAGGACACAGGGGGACCGGGAGGGTCACACTTCGTAGCCGCCATGCAGATCACAATGAAGACGCTGCAGCAGCAAACCTTCAAGATAGAGATTGACTGCGAAGAGACGGTAGGCCACATCTACAGCGCCTTGTTCTACCGAGGAGAGCTAGCGGCCGCCGGCTCGTACGGCTTAGCTGAGTCCCCCTGCTATTGCATGGCCTACACGGCAGCCACGGTGCTCAGCGGCCGGCCTCTAGGCCGCCGGGGTTATTTACCACACTCGTGTGCCGACAAGGGTTAACAGAGAGCGGAGGGGGCGGGGTGAAGGCGCGTGCTCGCGCTTGTGTTGAAGTTCTAGCACGTGACCAAGCGGCGTCGCGGTGTCGTGCATCACGTGGGAATGGCTGGGCACTTGCGGAGGGCTCGTGCACGCTTCAGGTGTCTCTGCAGCTGTTGCGGGATTTACCGCCCCGGCCTGCCCCAGAGAGCGCCTGTGTGCCTGTAACCTCGTGCTGCCTGACTCTGGTGTCAGCTGCCGGGCCTACACTTTATTAGGAGTAGAGTGTGCAGAACAGACCAGCAGTGTGTTGTGTGCACGGCTATAATGCAGCAATACGTCCCATGTGCTGTGAGGAAGGTAACCCTTCAGGTTCAGGCCTCCTTCACACTATGGTGCAGAGACGTCAGCATTTCTGCAAGGGCACAACAGAATCAATTGTTCTCTATATGTCCTGTTCACACCGCTGGTATCATATACAGATTTTTTTTTTTTTGCGCAGGGATTTGCAAGTGTATAAAACGCATTGGAGTGCGCATGAAAACGGACATCTCTGTAAGTGAAAGCTGTACATCAGTTCCCATCAGGTTTTTCTGAACTTATGGTGTGAACAAGGCCTTCTATTTAGGAAACAGGAAGAGTTAGAAGTAGCAGGCCTGTGGGGAGACTTAGGCCTCATGGACACTTCAATGATGCCTTTTCTACAGGTGTTTATCAGCAGAAAACCTTGGTAAAAATGTGTTTTATGCATGCATGTTCACATCTGGCACTAATGCATTCTGTTAGCCAGACTATTCATATATTCTGGCCATTAGAATGTATTTTTACGCCTAAAAGTTCCTATCCTGAATGCTACTTTGGTATTTTTCTGCCTCTAAGCACCTACAGCAGGGCTTTACAGATTTGCTTTGAATCTAGGAGCCAGCAAAAAAAAAAAATTAGATGTTAGTGTGTGTTTTTTTTTTTTTTTTAACCTCTTGGCACCGACCACACACAAATGTGTGGCCTCCCGGCGTCTAGGCCTTGAGGCCGAGCGGCCGCACATTTGCGTGCAATTAGGAAAAACGCGCTGAGAGTGCGCACTCCCAGCACACTTGTCCGGTACTCATGGAAAGGTCCCGATCTCCTCTTTCGATCAGGACCTTTCCCGATCATGTGATCGCTGTCACAGTGGTCACATGACCCTAAGACCCCGCCGCCCAGGTTTTGACACCCTTAAAGGGCTGGGAGGCGCCAAGGATTTAAGCATAGTGTGGGTTGTCAGTGCCTGGGGCAAGGCGAGTGATTTGCACTCCCTAACTTACAGCAGAGCAGCCAGCCAATAACCCTAACGCTGTTATGTCAGGGTTGTAGGCTGGGAAGAGCAGGGGCTGTTAGAGAGAAGAGCGGGGGACTCTCCTATCCCACACACATAACACAAGGAGACCCCTGAATGCACACCTGTATAATTTTCTACAGCTTTCCGATGCCTCTAATGTACTCAGATCCCTTCAGCAGGGTTCCCTGACCACTACATCAGCCTTGGTGAAGAAGTCAGCGTCTTGTGATTTCATCTAATATCACAGCGTCCACTCACCTTCTTGCAGTTCGCTGGCTCTATCATCAGCTGCATGTAGTGGAGCAAGATCACAGCTCGGGACCCTGATCCACTCTGACACAACTTCACAGGTTTGATGCCTCTGCTGCCTCTTCCTTCACTCCCATCAGTGGCAGTCCCCTGCTGGTACTGACTCAACAGGCTTCTCTCACCTTCTTGCCAGGCCCTGCTCCAAGTCACATTGTCTGAATAGTTTCTCTGGGTTTCAGGCGGACACATTATTCAGACCAACAGTGAATGTGCTGACAAAGGCCCAGGAAGCAATTTCTAGTCGCCATGGTGACCTGGCGCCTGGGATTTGTCAAACCCTGACCTATAGCAAGGGTGCTCAACCTGTGGCCCTCGACCTCAAAGCACTGAAGTGCATACCTGGGGTTAGCAACCTGTTGGTCGCGATCTGGGCTTGCCGTCTCGTCATCCCAGGGCATCAGAGTGCATCGAGCCGGCAGCAGAGGGAGCAGGAGCTGCATAAGCAGATGCTTCCTCTGTACCCCTGAATTATAGTGTGCACAGACAAATAGGTTAACATGGTGGGTTGTTTAGAGGCAGAATAAAAACTCAAATGCCTGTAAAAACAGGCCTTAATCTGATAGCGGGGTGTGAGTTAGCTGACGTAAGCGGTCTGTAGGTATTTACCTTTAGGGCTTGTTCACATGGACATAGTGGAAAAAAGTTTTTCTGCCCTTAGGAATGATGGGTGTTTGCATTCAGCTGCCTGTACAAATTGGTAGGAGGCTATGGCTGTACACTGGTGAGTGTTTATGTCAGGGACATATGTGTGTCCCGGACTCAGTTTGCACCAAGGGCTGTTCATCCATCTGTCAATCCCTGTACACCTATAAATGCAGCCTGTCGTTGACTTGTATAGGCGGCTGTTTGCACACACCTGTCACTCCCAATCACAGAAAAATATGCTTTTATTGAAAGTGTATAGTCCTCTGCAGCCCTGTGAATGAGCCCTTACATTTTGTGCATTTCTAGCGAAAGCCATCTGGTCTGAAAGTGGTGGCAGTGAGCAGGGATGATGACCTTTGCTATGCAGCTCTGTGTTACACTGGCAGTTGGGGGTGATAAAACCACGTGTGGTTTTTACCTCCCCTTAAAGTGTTATTAAATCCACGTCAGTAAAATCAGTCTGTATATGCAGTAAAGCATGTTTGTTATACTCACTGAGGAACGTAAGGGGTTAACGCTCCACATAGTGTAAAAAGGCTGTTTGATTATTTCTTCTCTGCTCCTCTTGTTGAAATGACCAGCTGATACAGACTGAATTTGTAGTCTCATGCACATGCTCAGTTTTGTATGTATTGCTAGAGAGGTTTTTTTTTCTTGGGAGAGTGCATGTGATCACCACAGGGCCAATCAGCACTGCTTAGACAGAGGGTCAAGGGTTTCACATCGTCCTAGAGCAGAAAGAAAACTCCTCCTACAAGCTTTAACCAGTGCTGCTGATGTCACAAGACTGCTCTAACTGCTGATGAGAAAAGGTATTTAGCAGTTTATATTTACTAAAATAATTGCATTTCCATGTTCTGTGTACTGTGGGAAACCAGATATAGTGAATGCAGGGTCCTGGGTTTAGTAACACTTCAAGACAGCATCCTGTGGTGTGCACATTCCAGTGAATTGGGTCATACTACAACGACCCCACAACTGTGCAATGCACATGGTTGCAGCATTTAGTGGGTTAAAGTGGTTCTAAAGCCAAAACAATGTTTACCTTAATGCATTCCCTGTATTAAGGTAAAAAACACTTTACAGCTTGCTGTCCTGTTCCACCTCCCTAAATACCTAACTGAGTCTTCCATCTATCCAGTGCTATGCACGGCTGCATATCTTCTCTCCCCTCTCTCTCTCTCTTCACAGAGGGACTCGGGCAGCAGCAGGAGCCATTGGCTTCTGCTGCTGTCAATCAAATGCTGGGAAGAAGTAGTGGGGGGGGAAAGGCCAAGCTGCGCTGTTTTTTTTCTTTGTTTTTTGGAGCATGGCTCCATAGTCACACAGCTCAGGAGCAAGCATGCACATGTACCTCCATAGGAAGCAGCTTGCTATGGGGGCACAAGGAGCAGAGGAAGAGCCAACACCTTGGTGGGGAAGCCCAAAAGAGGTGTTTCGGGGTTGCTCTGTGCCATTGCACAGAGCAGGGGAGTATATAACATTGTGTACTATTTTAATTTAAAAAAATGTCTTTAGTAACACTTTAAAGTGATTGTAAAGCTTTTTTTTTTTGGTTAAAATGAATAATTGATTTATACTTACCTGCTATGTGCAGTGGTAACAGCCCCAGTTCTTCTCTTCAGGGGTCCCGTGCCAGTGCTGTCCACTACTCCTCTCCTGAGTGTGCCACAATAGCAAGCTTTAGGTGCACTCCTTAGCCAGGCTGTGTGCGTCCCGTCCATAGACACACACACAAGGCAGTTTGGCCACACCAAAGCTTCCTCCTCCATAGTATTTGACTGACAGGAGCCAGAGCCGATGAGTCCTGCTTCTGCCCAAGTATCCTGTGACATGAGGATGAGGGGAGAGAAGAGCTGCAGCCAGGCACAACTCTGTTTAACTGCCACCCACCCGCCATATAAGGTAATGAGGGGCACAAGGCGGTTCTCTTGTTCCGGGAGGATGTCATATGATCGCACAGCGCTGTGATCGGTGGTGCGCTGTGTCCCTTGGACACAACGGATCACCGATCAGCGGAAAGAGCCGGAGATGTTGGCTCGGTCATGTGATCAGCTGTGTCCAATCACAGCTGATCGCATGTAAATAGGGAAATTCTGGTTATCAACATTTCTCTCCCCACGAGCTGTCATGCTGACAGCTCAAAAGGAGAAAAGAGACGGTAATTGGCATTCCTCGGAGGGGACATGTACACTGATGATCAGTGTAGCCCCAGCAGTGCCACCTGTCAGTGCTAATCAATGCCACCTGCCAGTGCCACATCAATGCCACATAGCAGTGCCTACCAGTGCACATCAATGCCACATAGCAGTGCCCATCTGAGCTGCCTTTCAGTGCCACCTATCAATGCCAGTCAGTACCACATATCAGTGCTGCCTTTCAGTACCCATCAGTGATGCCTGTCAATGCCCATCAGTGCCACCTACCACTACCTCTTCATCAGTGCTCATTACGCACATCAGTGAAGGAGAAAAATCGCTTATGTACAAAATGAACTAAGAACGTTTTTTTTTTTTCAACATTTTTAGTGGTTTTTGGTTTGTTTAGCAAAAAATAAAAACCCCAGAGGTGGTTAAAT